GTCCATGGTGAAAACACAATTACTCAGGGCGACTGTGGCAGAGTAGTTAGGGGAGTTGTCCTGGAACCGGAAGGTCACTGGTTCGATCCCCCGTCCAACTGTCTCAGTTGTTGTGTCCTTGGGCAAGACTCTTCACCCTCAATGCCTCTGATGTGTGTCCCATCAGTGTATGAATGTGACTGGGACTGATTAGTCTCCATAGATGATTGTACATGTTAGCTTTGTAGAGACCTAATAGAGTGATGTGTGAATGGGTAAATGAGGACACAGATTGTAGTGTAAAACGCTTTGAGTGTCCTGGATGGATAGAAAAGTGTTATTTAAGTACAGTCAATTTACAATTTACTTACCTGCTGCACATAGTCACAATCATTTTAAAAAGAGATGCATAAAGTTTACCAAGTTTACCCAAGTCTATTTTAATCAGCAATGCCAGATGTACTGTAATTTTTTGGACTATAGGCCGCTACCTTTTTCACACAATTCTGCAGCTTAAATAATGATGATAAATTTGGAAATTTCACTTTGCGGGGCTGATGTGCAGGTATGGGTCAATTCAGGTTTTGTTCCCCTTCAAAGAAAAATGAAAAATAACTTTGCCAATTTTTTTTCTGAAAATCACCTTTCACTGACCTCACCCATTTCTTTAATTTCCTTTACAATCTGCATAAATCAAATCCATTTTTCTGCCCTGTTTTAATTAATTTATTTTATAACACAGTAGCAGTGGCACATTGTGATTGACAACTGATGCTACATCTCTGCACAGGAGGCAGACAGACAACCACAAGGTGGCATTAAATAATGTTTTGCATTTTTTTAATGTCCTTTATTTGACTTTTTGTAATTTGACACATTCAAAAGTGGGACATTGTGTGTGTGTGTGTGTGTGTGTCACATTGTGCACATTGGGCCTTGTGAAGGACAGATGCACATTCTGAACCTACAGAGTTAGCAGTAAGGAGAGGCAGGTCCAGTCGTGAAAGAGGAGGGTTGAGCAAAGATTAAGATCAGGCAAATTTACGTCACCCTTCTTTGCAGGTCTCTGAAGAGGTGTATCAGCGATGGCGAAGATGGCATTTAAAAAAAAATTTTATCAGCCAATGTAAGAGATGAAATCGCCACCTGACATCAGTTTTTGAGAAGGCTGCCTCCACGACAACTCTAGCTAGCTTGCCCTGTGTGCTGCTAGTTCCTGCATGCGCGTTCAGTGGTGCAGCACGGAAAAGCGTCCCCCATGAAACAGTTTACTGGCGAGCGTGATGCAACGTTCCAAACATGTTCAGGCAGTTGAAACTGGTATGCTGATATTCGG